CAAAGGACATCGAACCTCATCGAACCAGCAGCTACAACGACAACGACAACAATAATGAAGCAAATTGAAGCTGTTAACATTCACTCGCACCCGCACCCACACCCACATCCGCACTCACACCCCAACACTCGAACACTCAAACACTCGCAGACTCAGCACTCACAACTCACACTCATTCGTTTGGTCGATTCTGGTACTTACCTTGTGCAATTCGAACCGCGGGCATTTTAATTCTCATTTTTGTTTAAATTTCCGAAGGTGTTGCGAACTTTACGGGCGCCCGCAACTTTTGCTTTGGCTGCTGGGCTGCTGGGCGGCCCCTCCCCGCCGTGCCTCCTCCTTTTGGCTGCTTTCCTACTCCTTTTTGCCGTTTTTGTTTTTTGTTTTTTTTTTTGTTTTGTGGTCTCGTTGCGTTTCGGTCTAAACGTTCTTCTAAGCGTTGATAAATGTTTCTTGTTGTTAGTTTTGATGTTTATTGGTTGTTGTTGTTGCTGCGACCAGTGTTGGTTAAAATAACACACACACTTACATGCACACACACACACACCACAACAACAACTCACAACAAATGCAGCGGCTTCGCTTTCTGCCTCCTTTTTTTTGGCCGTTTTATTTGCTGCTGTTGCTATGATTTTTTTTTGGAGCGGCTTAATGTCCAGTTAAGTGCAGCTTAAGTTTAACTGTTGTTGTTGTTGTAATCGTCTGCATTTTGTCTACACATGTATGTAGATATATCATTTATGCATATAACATACTACTTATATATTGTGTATCAAAAAAAATTACACTTAGCACACAATTCGATTTATTTACTTTCTTATTTATTTATGCTTCAACTTTATTTATTTATTTGTATTTATTTATTACTTTTTTTTTGAATAGGAACCTTTTGCACTAAATTTGTAGTTGTGTGCGTGTGTGTGGATTTGCTTTTTGTTATTGTTGTCAGGTTGCTGTTGTTGTTGTTTCTGTTGTTTTCTTATTGCTGCTGCTCTTCAACACAACGAATGCAGATTCCAATTGGATGCCAGGAGCGTCGTTCAATTGGTTTCCAATTGGTAGAACTGTGGAATGGGCTTTAACGGTTATTAACACTAATAAACACACACACATACACACATATTCGAACATACAATGCACGAATATGCACAGACTCGAAAAAAAATTGCACTTCTGTTTCAGATTGAAAATATTTATACATATATTTTTTAATATGTATGCGTATCGTTATATTTAAAAAAAAAATACATATGATTGGCTCAACAACTTCTTTTTTTTAACTATTCAAACGCGACGCAAAGTTACGCGCGTTACTCTGCTTGGTGTTGTTGTTGTTGTGTATTCTCGTTGTTACTATTCTCGTCCTCTGTGGATAACTGTTATTATTGCGGCGACGGCAACTGTATAACGGCTGCGTGCGTGCGCCGTGCAACGGTAATGTGGTGCTAACGGTAACGGCGGAAGTACGCGACTACTGCTACGCGCCAGCTTTCTGTCGACCATCGACCGTCAACCGTCGACCGTCGTTGTCGTCGAGCGTCTTCGGCGCTGCTGTCGCTCTGCTGTCCAACCAACAAAGCACACAGGCACAGTCGTAGTCACAGCCACAGAGACACCAACAGCAACAGCAACAACAACAGTACACCAGTCTGCAGCAGCAACAGAGGCAGAGGCAGTGGCAGTGTTCAGACGAGCGCTCCAACAGCAACACCAACGCCAGCAGCGGCAGCGAACGAGCTTCGGCACGACGATGACGATTTCAACGACGACGACGACGCAACCAACAAACGAAAGCTTAAATGGACGTACGTGCGTATGTGTTTGTGTTGGTGTTGTGTGTACATATGTATGAGAGAGCGTATAAGCGAGAGGGCAAGGCGAGCGAACGTGTCCGAACGCAACGATGTCCTGCGAGCGACTGTGTGGACGCCAACGTTCACATATAATTCAATTTCATTTCATAGGGCCATGCACTTTAATGCCAATCTGAAAAATTTGATTTTGGCTAAGCGGTCGACGCCGGCGTCAAGTTTACCGTTAGCGGCAGCAGCAGCAGCAGCGACAGTGGCAGTGGCAGCCCTTTGGCCGCAGTCGCCTGCCTGCCTGCCTAGCATTCGAGTTGGTGGTTGATTGTTGTTGTAGCTTGTGGGCGAGCGGGTGGTTGAAAGGTTAGAAGGCGGTTGGTGGCAGAGGTGGTGGTTGTTGTTGGCGGTGCGAGGGGGTTTGGCGGGTGGTTTATAACTGTGTTTGTTTATTTGGTTTGCTGCTACTCGTTGTTGGTCCATTTGCCATACATGTGCACATGTGTGTGTGTGAGTGAGGGGGGTGGACATACATACGCACACAAACAAGCACAAGTGTGAGAGCGAGAACGCGCTCAATTCGATATGCACACACACACATGCATACGAGTATGCCCACACACATATCTGCATGTATGTATGTACATACATGTATGATGGCCTGAGTGTTTCACATACGCTGGCGTCAACGTTGACTGTGGCGCTCTTGACTGCTGACTGATTGTGGCTAATATGTTGTTGGCAATGATAACAGCACGCACGCAAACACACACAGACACACACATGCACGCAGCTGCTGTATGCTTGTATTGTCCAGCGACGTTGACGTCGACTGCGACTGCGATGGCGATGGCGTTCCCCAAAAAGCGTGCTACAGCAGCAGTCGAAGCGGCAAAAGAGGAGGAAGACGAAAAGGAAGAAGAAGCAGTAGGAGCAGCTTCTTGCGCTGCTGTTCTCGATGCCGGCGGTAAAAATTTCGCGCCTGCTGCTTGGCATGCGTAACCGCGTCGTCAACGTCAACCCTCCTTGTGTTTATGAATGAATTGGATGAATGGTGTGGGGTCGACAATGGGTGTAATAGTAGCAGCAACAACAACAGCAACAACAACAACAACAATGGCAATTGGCAAAGCAAATAAAAAGCGCGCGCGCACCTTTAGCTAAGAAAAAAAAGCTGAGGCGACGACGACGACGACGCGCGCAAATAACAGCAATAGCTACAACAACAACAACAGCAACAAATTCAAATTAAAATAATGCCAACAACTACAATTACCTAGCAAACAAAAAACAACAACAACAACTGACTCGACGACCGACCGACGGATGGACCGACGGACCAACCAACCGACCAACCGACGACGATAAGTTTTCGTGATTCTTTCTAAACTTTTTGCTTATCGCGCCGTTTTCTATTTTGTGTGTTGGCTGTTTTTGTTATTTTCTGCTGTTTTCGTACTTTAGGGACGCCTTTTGGTTGCTTTGGTTTAAGCCGAGAGAGAGCGAGAGAACTTTTTGTGTGTGTGTGGTTTGTTTAAAGCACGTCCTCACAACGCGGCTGCTCGTGTGCATCTAATAAACTAAACTTAGTTTATGCCCATCTTCCTCCATTCAAACATTCAAACAGAGTCGCAACAACAGCAACGTCAACGTCAACGGCAACCAACCAAACCACTCACAACACACTCACACACAACACACAACAATGCCAGCAGTGGCGGCGACTGCGACTGCGACGCCAGAAACAGCAACGCTGTCGAACTTAGGCAGCCGGCGGCCCCAAACATATTCGGATGCAGACGGAGAAGCTCTGTTGTTGTGTTTAGTTGGCGCGTTGGAGCAGCACTGAATGGTGTTTGTGGCCCAATGCGGACCGCAAAGTGCGGCTGACTTGCTGCACCTACAGCTTTTTTTTTCTTTTTTTTTTTGAAACTTGGGACAAACAGGAATATAGTGTACTATATAGCGACACTGGGTCTCATTCAAAATCCCCCTTTAACTTTAAGCCAATATTAATCACTAACAAACGCTCCATCAATTCCAAACTTCAACTGCATTTCTTCTCGGATTTTCCGCAATTCATGCATAGTTCTGCTTAGTTCAAGATGGTTTAAAGCAATTTTTTTTGGAAACTAATGTGTTAATTATAAATAAATATAATAATAATAAAATAAATATGTGTAATTATAAATAAGACTAAACTTTTGTTGTTAATTAACAACTACGTGTGCTGCAGAAAGTATTGTGTAGGGTGTTTCTTACTTTCTTTCCTATAATTTATTTAAAATTTGAAACTTTAACTGCATTTCTTCTTGGATTTTCCACAATTCATACATATGTAGTTCTGCTTAGTTCAGGATTGTTTCAACAATCAAACAATTGTATTGGAAACAAGTGTGTTATAATTATATTTTGAACGTTTGGATTTGAGATTGAAATGAGACCACATTTTTGTTGTTAATTAACAACTAAGTGTATTGTAAAGGGTGTTTTTCTTTTTTTCATTTCCTATAATATATTTAAGATTTGAAACTCAACTGCATTTCTTCTTGGATTTTCTAAAATTCAGACAAAGTTCTGCGTAGTATATGATTGAAAGCAATTGTTTTGGAAACAAGTCTGTTACGTTTATATTTTAATGTGAGATTAAAATATCATCATTTCCAATAATTTACTCAAGATTTCTATATTCTTTTACGAAAATTGTGCTGATACTTTGTGCTATGAAGAGTGTTTCTTAAAACTTTAATTATTGGATTTTTTTTTTTAAATTTCCATGTCTTACTGTTTCATGCAGCTTCGCCTAGAAACCTTCTCATATAAATTAAGTGGTTTTAATTGTTGTTATATTTCTATATTAAGGTCACGTCATTAAGTTTAAGCTTCAGTGTTCGATTTGAGATTTAAATGAAAACTCCTATTTGCTGTTTATTAACTATTTAATTTATAAACTGATTATTAAGTGAATATACGTGAGAGTCTACTTTGAGAGTGAAGGCCTAGAACGTTTATTAGGATCTATTCACATGCTATACATCAGGTTATATGTCTATCGAAGGCATGCTCAGAACATCTCACAGGAAAGCAATCCGCTCATTGAATCTAACTTAAAATTAAAACAGTTATACTTCTGGCCAGCATTTAATAAAATAATAATTTACAATATTTTAACTAGGATCGTTTTAAGTTTACGGTCGTTTCCAATATTTTGTATTGTCTGTGAAGGCGGACATTATTTCCGCATTGAAGGGACCACCTACCTCACTGAAAAGCGATCCGCGTATTGAGTGTTTATGCAAATGGCCAGTCTTTTATAATCAGTGGAAATAGTTGGTTTGAATTTATGTTCAATTCTCATTCAGTATTTCGGTGTCCATGTCCACGAAGGCGCGTATCAGTCCCTCGTCGAAGGGCTGCTTACTCAAATGGGTCAACATCATGTGGGCAGCGACGCGTTTAGCCATCTTCTTAGTGTTGCCCTTGCCAACCGAGCGTATATTGAATATTGTACAGGCCATGGTGAAGAGATGTGCCCCATACTGGAGACGTGTCTCGGCATGCAGTTCATATAACGGCGGAGTCCAGCCACGATGCATGCACATCTCCTGTAGTTCCCCGATGGGATTTCCCAACATGGCGTTGCCATCATAGCCCTCTTGTACATTAATTATTGTTTGAGGATAACTAATGCTCTGTCCCTGCTGGTTTCCGGTGATGGTGGACATCCCGAAGAGCTCATCCATTAAGCAGCGTGCCGCTGCCTGTTTGGCTTCCTTCTTGGAGTGGCCGGTTCCATGGGCCGTGAACGTCTTGTTTTTGTATATAAACGATACGCGAAAACAAAAGATGGGATTGCGATTAGGTGTCTCGGCATCGATCAGCTCATAATAGGGTACGATGCCGTAACGCACCAAATATTCCTGGATAATGGTCACCGGTGTCTTATTGTAAATGGCCGTCACACCTATATTGTAGGGTATATTGTACTTTGGAGCCATCATCATCTCCAGCCCCCCTGTGTTCATCTTCATCCCCATGCCAGCTGCTTCCAATGGTACATCTGAAGGGAATAAGGCACGATATCCGCCTTCCATCGGCTTTGGGACATGTTGGTTGCGATTTGGTTGCTGCATTATCTCTATATGCTTAAGTTTCTGTTGAGCTTTGGTTTTTATGCAAATATATAAAAACAAATAAATTTACAATTGTTAAATACTTACAGCACAAGCCAGTGTCCAGAATATCTAAAATTATTATAAAGAATGCTGTCACATGAATTTTGACAAACTAATGAACGAGTATAAACTATATGGGCTCCTATGGCTCAGAGCAAATTCTGAAAAAGATATCCATCCCTGAAGAGATTGGATTCTCACTCATAGGCGAGCTGGAATAAAACACTTTATGCAGCAATTTTAAAATAGTTTCAGGCATATTTGTTGATCTGCTAGGTTAAGATATTTTTTGGGTAAAACAAATTCTGAAACAGAAACAGCTAAGCTCGTAATGCGTTTTAGTGATAGTTAGTATTGGTTTATGACTTCTTTCCATTAGTCAATCTATTGGATAGTTTCTTGATTGAATAAAAAATAAAAATAATAATAATAAAAAAATACAAATAAAAAAAATACTCGTACATTGTAAACCTTTCCAGGTGTTATACGTATTTGTGATGAATATAATATTTTATTGTTCAAAATCTACAATCGAGTAACGACGCCCAACCCCTAAAACCTGCGGCCGATCAGACAACACGAATCTCAGCTGCAGTGCGTCGATTTGTTAATATGTATATACATATGTGTGTGTGTGTGTGTGTCAAGCAGGTGGTGGGCGAGGTGGAGGGGGAGGTGGAGGGGGAGCGGATGCGTGCACCGACGGCCGCCTTCCAAAGCCCGCCCGTTGTACTTAACACCGGCTAATGCACATTAATTATTGTGTATGTGCCGGTTCTAGATGCGGGATGCAGGCGGGTGGTAAACAAAAGCCCAAGCCAGGCCACAACTCAAACGATGGCGGCGCACAAGTTGCGGCCAACATCGAACAAGTTGCGAGGCGACAAAGCAGCAGCAGCAGCAGCAGCGGCAGCGACAGAGACGTCGCAACCCACACTGGGCTAAGAAAAAAGCGTCGCAGCGACAGCGCTGCTAGCATTGCACCCATTAATGTCAGCTCTTTCGTATTAAAAAGCATGGAATGTGTGTGTTTGTGTGCGAGTGTGTGTGTGTGTGTGTGTGTATGAAGCTGTGCTTAAAGTAAATGCGAATTGTTGCTAATGCTTAGATTGTTGTTACAATTAACTGAGCAGAGCTGGCATTAATTACACAAAAAAAAGGGAACATATGTATGTACATAAGTATATATATGTAGATATATGTATATGTATAGGAAGAAAAGAGGTATGATCACAGTTATCTAGCATGTATTTGTCAATTGTCCATTGAAGAGCTGGCGCCTTTTTTTCTGAGTATGTGAGCTTGTATGTGTGCATGTGTGGGTGTGTGTGTGTGTGTGTGTGTGTGATTCAAAAGACACGACACAATTGGAGCGACGATAACCCCAAGCCAAACCATTTCGAAACTCCTTCAACACACACAAACACACGCTCACACATACACATACACGCAGAGCATGCATACGTGAAGCGCGCTGAGCAGAATGGGAGCACAGAACGCTTTCGACTGTCGAGCCTTTGTGTAGCATATGTATTGGCGCTTTCGCTTATATGCATTCGTACACACGCACACACACACACACACACGCACACACATTTTGAATACTCGCACACATATGAGTGTCGCACACGCGCGTTCAACATCGATTGGCCGTCGCTCTCACGTACGAGTATATTTGTTTGACAAGCAGAAAAGCAACTTCAGTGCCACCCAAAAGCAAGGACGCCCACCTGCCGCGCTTACACTTACACCTGACCTCACCCCACCCCCTTGCCACTTCGCACAGGTAGGCAGCACATCAGAGATGGAGCGGCAGCAAGGCAGAGAGAGAGCGAGCAGAGAGCGTAAGAGACGCGCTCGCTCGCTCGCTTCTGCTGCGTGAGTGCCAGCTAACTACCCCTGTGCGCATCCTGAGAGCGCGTCCGCAACCGAGAAAATAGTGCGGGGGCTCCCAAACAATGTGTGCCAACACAATTGTGACTAGCGAGGCGTTGAAGCGACCGAGAAGGATGTTGGCCAACTTGGCGGCTGCCTCAGCAGCGATCAACTAATAGCATCATACGAGCATGAACAAGGCTAATGAAAAATCGGGATGCTTAAAACTTTAACAATGACTTCTCAAAAATATGTTCGGATCGATTTTTATGTTTATTGGAAATCAAAAATTAACAAAAAAATAAAATAAAATAAAATAATTAAAAAAATAATACTAAAAAAAAAGGCACAGATCTTGTTTACAAATACTTATAACCCCCACTATTTACTATAACATTTAAAATGTATTAATTTTAATATTCATTAAAATCTAATTTATCGCCCATTGCACATATTCTAACGCTTTTTACAAATACTCATAACCCCCACTATTTACTATAACATTTAAAATGTATTAATTTTAATATTCATTAAAATCTAATTTATCGCTAACAAAAAAGAAAAGGAGAGAGAACAATACAAGATAAGAAGTATAACTAAATTAAAATACTTAAATAATACAAGATAAAATATAGCTTAAATCTAAAGGTGGAGACCCGTTGGGGGAAGGTTTATTGGCCAGTTCGGCAAGATATTGCATTCATAAAATTGTGTTTTTGACAAAGTCTCTTAATCGGAACCTTTCTGCAACATTCTTAATATTTCAACTTCAAAAATTCCACTGTTGGCACAGAATTTAACAGAATATTTTTGTAAAAAGATATAAAAAATCAATTGACATTAAGCAATGAAGAATGGAATGGAAATTGTCCCTATCGAAACACCCACTCGATTTTATGCTCCTTTATCCGTTTAATATTTGTACTACATACAAGTATATTTCTGATTAGGCAGATGGCTAGCTAATGCCGCCAGCGTATTGAAAGGTTATTGACATTTCAATATATTCTGAGAAACAGCTTTTGGGCTTGCACTTCTTTTGAAGGATTGGCTGCATGTGGCGCGTCCAACAGACGATGCTGACGACTGTTAATTGAGTGTAAGTGCGAGTGCTGTGGCACGTTGACATATTGCCACATTGCCGCATTGCCATATTGCCACATTGCCGCATCGCATTTCAATATACGGTGAGATCAAAAACAAATCGGGGGTAATTACCCCAGAAGCGAATGCGAAAAATGCCTCAAGAAAAATGAATGAAAAAACCTTTGAGCTTCAAAAGCGTTCATATATACTCGTAGTATATGTACGATTAAAATGAATATAATAACAATAATATATGCACATAGGTATGGCATGTATGGCTCTATTGAGGTATTGTGCGGGAACGGGACTCGATGAGATCGCGACTACCAGGTTGGCAATGCATTTTTTTTTTTTGGTTTTTTTTGTTACACTTATTCGCAATTGTCGCGACGCGTCGGCGAGATGTGAGAATTTGCGAAACCGCTGGCTGCTGAAACAACAACAGCAACAACAAGAAAAGTCTTGCACATGAATGTCGGAACTGCAGCCAATTATAGTCGAAGTGCAAGGAGCAGCCAGGAGCAGAAGCAGGAGCAGGGGCATGCAACAGGCCTCTGTGTGACATATGTATGCTGCAGCAAGGCCGCTGTTGCCACTGGAGCTGCTTGAGATTTGAGTGCATTTTGAGTGTCGTTGCAATTGCAATCACAACAACAACAACAACAACAACAACAAGAAGCCGTTTACCCTAAAGAGCCGACCACATTGCATTTGATAATGGACCGCTCGACTCGTGCCCCCTCTCTCGCACAGTGGCGCATATTTAACATAAAGTTGAAGCAAAAAACTATGGCCTGCTCTCTAAACTAAAACCCTACTAACTAAGTCCGTTAGTTCAACATGAAGTTGAAAGACTGGCGTTCAAACTACTGCGGACTTACTCTTTACTAGGATGCTTCAATCAAGTTAAGTTCGAGAATATAGCATCTTCTGACTTATTTTTATTAGTTCGCATCTCAGAATACTGCTTGCCTGTTCCTTAAATTAATCTTTTACTATATAGTATATATTTAAAACATTTTTCTAGATTGAAACTCAAAATACTCCTATCTTTTTAATGAGCTTTTCAAGAATAGATGGTTTCTAGTTTGGACCTACAACTACGAATATTGCTTGCCTATGCCTTGAATAATTCTTTTAGCATATATATTCCCTTGTTTTTGATTATCTTTTTAATACATTTTTCAAAAATAGAGCATCTTCTGACTTATTTTTATTAGTTCGCATATCAAAAAAGTGCTTGCCTATTCCTTAAATTAATCTTTTACAATGTATATATTTAAAACACATTAATGAATATTTGTGTATATATATTTTAAAAACAAAGCATTTTTCTAGATTGGAACTCAACTTTTTCAAGAATAGATTGTTTCTAGTTTGGACCTACAACTACGAATATTGCTTGCCTATGCCTTGAATAATTCTTTTAGCATATATATTCCAAAAACAAGCACTTCTTGATTATCTTTTTAATACATTTTTCAAAAATAGAGCATCTTCTGACTTATTTTTATCCATATAAGTAGTTCAAAAACGAGTTTAGTTGTTTTTCAAACGTGTACGTATACCGCTCATAGACCCTAATATGGGATACATTGTTTCCACAAACTGCCGCAAAAGTTGTCCCAAGCTTAAAAGAAACCTTGGTACATTTTCCGACATTACTTCAGACCTGATGAACTCCGTTTTTGGTGGACAAGACTTCAGGATAAGTTGAATGGAAATTGAAAATAATTCAGCACCTTTCTAATGCCACAAAATTTGCTCGAAAAATGTTTCCATTTTAAAAAGCCTCTGAAACCTAGGACTACGTTGGAGTTTCCTTTTTTTAATAATAATCTTCAATGATGGAAAGTGGGAATAGATGTATTAGCATCGTACCGTGCTGTATATTAGAAACAGTGCTTGGAAGCACGTTTCCCTCCTTTGGAGTACAAAATTTCCTCTTTAGTGATTACTTGTAGATGGGGAAAGGGTACTTCTACTAGCCTAGCAAAAAAGTTCTACCTCATCTTGTT